TAAAAAATCTATCACTTTACCTTATCCGTAAACAGTAAAACGAACAGTAAATCGAAGTTTTCACATTAATTTTTACTTCAGACAAATTATTTGTAAAATCACCTTAGAGTCGTTCGAATAAATTACCTTTAAAAATTTTTTCAGCTTTTATATAACTCTTGCCCCGTAATGAGCTAAAATTTGAAACTCTAAGAAATAAAAATCACTGAATTATTATAAACAAAATATAACAATGAGTTTCAAGAATTAAAATAAAAAAGAATAGACTAATCAGAATGGATGAAAACAACAACCTAAACGCAATATTTTTCTATGAATCTCCCTGACTACGCCATATTTAATTGTTCTCCCTGACTACGCGTATTTAATCGTTTCTAGCCTCAAACATTCGTTCAGGTAAATAGAAATATGCATTAGCGAAGTTTTAATACATTTCTAACTACTCTGCATAAAATACAAAATAGTAGGATATTTTTTTTATTTTGCATAAGTGTCTGTGAAGGAAAGAATCAGAGCTTAGTATACAATATTTTTTATTGATTTAATTCGATGACATCTAGGTTTTCTTCAAATGTCAAATGTATTTAGGGTTTTTAATTTTTATGAAATGGCTATTTTTCAAAATCATTTATAAAACAAAAAATCTTGTGAAAAGAAGCATAGTTTACACTGAAAAGAAGCATAGAAACTTTTTTTTTTTCAATAAAACTATAGCTTGGTTGCCTAAAATATAAAGCGTCTACCCTACTTTAGAATGCTTTAGAATAGAATTTAGAAATTTAAAATATTATTATATATATATATATATATATATATATAAATATTAAAAAAATTTCAAAAATTAAAAAAAGTTCAAAAATTTTTTAACAACGTTTCTAGATTAGAAATTAATTCCTCTTTAATGCTTGGTACTAAAATATTAAAACTTTTAAGTTAAAATTGGTTATTCATTAATCCAAGATATTAATCCAATTTTTACATTTATTTTGAAAAAAAAGCGTCCTTAGCAACATCTTTGCAAAAACTCAAAGACAGTTTTATGACCTAAAAAATATTTTTACTACAAAAAAAAATGTTTATTAAAAAATAGGTAAAACATTTTGATGGTTTTGTAACCTATTAATTTAGAAGGTATACCGATAATCCACCAAATTTAGATAAATATTGATATTAAAAAGAATTAGGTTTTTTTTCTGTTTTTTTTTTATTTACCGTCAAGTTTACATTTCGAGCTTATATCGAGTTAACTCTTGCACAACGGAATAAAAGGTAAACATATAAAACAATTTAGTCATCCAGTTGCACTCTCTTCTGATTGCGAAAATCACATTTTGAAGATAATAAACGTTCTTTCTGATTGGAAAATGTATCAGGTGTACCAGGTCTATAAATCTTTTTTAAAGCCTAAAAAACTACCCATGAAACCCCGCGGGGGGAAGAAGAGGGTTTGCTTGGAGAGATCATTCGGTATATTCAAACCAAAAACGGCAGCAATTTATAAAAAATTTATAAGAACTTTTAAAAAAAATCACGAAAGCCAATCAAAGTATCCCATTCGAAGGTAGATTAACGGTTTAGTTTAAGGGTATCAAAACTTCAAAAGCAAAAAAATTTGACTTACTAGGTTTAATGAAAGATTTGTTTTTTTCTATAAGAGCCTCCTTTTAAAATTTTATGATCATATAACGTGTACTTCCTTCTTAAAACAAATATTTTAAACTGGTGATAACATTTTTACGGCAAGATGTTTTTTTTTATAAATTTGAAATCTGTTGTCGAATTTATCTATAAAGTACATTGAAATATTGTTATTCGATATATATTGTTGATTTAGTTTAAAATGAAAAAGTAGAAATAAAGTTAAAAAAAAAAGTTATTTGGGGGTGTTATAGTTGGGTGAGTCTTTTACAGTATACTGTGAATATACTATACAGTTTACTGTATAGAGTTGCACAGAACTGCATGGGTAGAAGGAGGAAATAAGCGTGAAAGAGGAGCTAAGAATATTTTTCAAATATTCTTAAATATTAAAATATTTTTTATTTCTTCATTATTTTCTTAAACCTATAGGGTAAAATGTTGTTAAATGGCAACATAACAGTTAAAGACATAATGTCTTTAACAACATTTTACCCTATAGATTTATTGGTTAAAAAGTATTATAAACTTCTTTAAAACCAATTTTGCAGTGAATTCTTTATGGTTTTATCATCTTTGCTTGCATTTGACGTCCGTATAGGACGTCAATCGGGGCTAAAATACCAAAAGCCGGTACATTTTTAAATGTGCGTTATATTGTAAAGTAAAAAAATCATTTTACGCGAAGTATTTGTTTACGTATACAATTAACATTTTTTTATGAATAAATATAAAAACTTCAACCGAAGTTAAATATTTTAGGTAGGTAATATATTTTTATTGTGATCAAGGTAATGATGGCATTCGAGAGTGATTTAGTTTTTTCAATGTTTTTCAGTTGTACCTTTACAATATATAAAATATTTAATATTTTATATATTGTAAAGGTACAACTCAATGTTTTTCAGTTGTACCTTTACAATATATAAAATATTTAATATATATAAAAACCATATATTGTAAAGGTACAACTCAAGGTACAACTCAATGTTTTTCAGTTGTACCTTTACAATATATAAAATATTTAATATATATAAAAACCGGCGTTAGCAATTTTCGGTATTTAGGGAAAATAAAATTGACTCTCTTATGCAGAGTTTTGTTCATGAAATATGACGCTTCAGGTTTAATGAAAAAGAGCAAGTGATCTAATACCTATGTTTAAAAGTTAAACTTAGCGTGACGTACCTTATGTATTACCCATAAACCAGAAGATTTGTAATATATTCCAATTAAAGTAATTGCCTTTTAGTTTAAAGAAAAGAAAAAGATTCTAATTCGCATAATAAAATTCTAATTCTAGCAACTAGCAACCCGTAATATGGGTTATTAGTATTTAAATAATAATAACAATTTACCTTATAGCTAAAAACATATAAATATCACATAACATAAGTTTTAAAGCTCTTTTTAATATCATTTATACTGTCGCAACTTTATATTGCACCGCAAAAGTGTATGCAAGTTCACTGTACTTGCATACACTTTTGCAAGTTCACTGTCCCAGCCGGCACAACTCAGAAAAAAGTTACGTTTGGTTTCTGTTGCGTTTTTAAAACCTTCTAAAACAAAAAGAATAACACGTATCAAAAATGGTTTTTATTCCGTGAAATTAACTATTACTATTTACCATAAATACCAGTTAAAGTATTAATGGTTTCACCGTTACGTAAACGTAGTATTATATTGTATTACCTTTCTGTAAGAATGTGAAACCACTGATAAAAACATGCGACATTTAAATTTGACTTTAAAACCTCAAATAACACGTGTTAAACTCTTGTAAAACTGCCCGTAATATACACGTGCTTTTGGTTTACGCCTGGATCGTGAAAAACACGTGCCTATATAGGTTTTATTTCCGAAAAAGAAACTAGATGTGCCGGTAGGGGTACTTGCTTACACTTTTGTGATTTTTTGAAATATATTTTTATTATATATTAATAATATATTTTTTGATTTTTTCAAAGGTTTTGCAAGTTGTACAAAGTACAGTCTCCAAAAAACAAAAAAACAAAAAAAAAATAAACCGCAAATAAAATCTACTAAATAAAAACAACAAAATAAAATCTATTTAAATGTTAATTAATTTTATTACACAATAGATTGTCATATTGCCGGATATACATGTAAGTATGTAAGCCTAGTATCACAACATCTCTAATATTCCTATTACTTAGCAAATGATTAGTATAACACTCTCATTAAAAAAGAGTATAAACAGTTATAAGCTGTTTTTTAAGTTACCCGTAAATAAAACTGTTCCTACTTTGATGATCTGCATTAATTTTCTTTACTGTTACTAATGATTATTTAAGTAAGTTTCAAATAATGAAATTTACTAAATTAAAACCATTTTTTAACAGTAAGCCAACTGAAACAAAATAATGGCAATAGTCGAACTAAAAAAAAATTAAAATTAAAAATAAAAAAATATTTAATTAATAGTGTGCGTCACACAAATAAAGTCTTTAAATAAAAGTTTCACTTTCAAAAAAGCTGAAAACGCTCTTACAAAAATAAAGAAAATAAAAGAGGAAATAAATATAAATAAAATTACCAAAAAAGATCTTACTCGTTAGCTTTTTTATAACGTAAAGGACTACGATTGAATAAAGATCTTGAATTTTTTTTTACATTCTGGTCAAAATAAAAAAGTTACACAACATTTTTCACCCACCATAAGTGAAAAATAAAAAATAGTTTTTTGTTCAATATGTTTTATGTTAAGATATACATTAAGCCTATCACATATTTTACCTTGACAATAATTGGTCGTCATTAAATATACTAATCAAGTCGGTAACTAATAAGTTTTAGTAAAAAAGCTTAATTGGAATTTCTTGGAGTCAACTAAATTTGAGTAAGAAACACATGTGGGTTATTAAATTAAAGTTTTTTTAAAATCAACTATAACAACAGGTATCACAAAAACATAAACCAGTATTACAATCTTTACAAAAGTAATACCGTTTGGAATATAAATATCACTATAGTATAAATAACGCCCTATTATAGAAGAGTATAAACAGTTTTTATTTCAAAGAATAATAACTGTTTATACTCTAAAATACCACTTACTGCTCTTTATCTTTAACATCATCAGTTAAATACTTAATTTACCAAAAAAGCAATAAAAATAGTATTAAAAGTAAGTTAAAAATTGAATTAATAAACAAACTTTTATCTAAAAAGACAATATTTATTAAGAAAATATATATTAAGAAAATAAGAAACTTCATATTTATATACTAAACCTTTTTATAGATATTATAAAATTTAGAAAAAAAGCTTAACAATTTATAGTTTAAAAAAGAAAGACAAGCTAAATCTTAAAACATTTAATTTAAAAACTAAAATTTAAATTTGTATTTTTAAAGTATACTTTCCAACATCTATAACATATAAGACAGGAGTGTGAATAAAATAATTTTAAATAGTATTAAATTAACTAATTGCTTATGTTTTGCATCCTTGATGAGCAATATTTAGCTTTCTTTGAAATGAAATTCGTTTAGATTTATTCCAAAGATGCACAAAAAATTGCAAATAAAACATAAAATGTGCTTGAGACATAAGCTTTGCAGACCGTTTGATTTTTTAAATGTAGCTGTTAAATTGTTCACATATTGATGTATTTACCAGAGGTGAGGAGGTCAAACGACTATATTTAAAGGCATTTGAACATTTATGCGTATATCCATGAAAAATGTCATGGAAAAAACGAGTTTTTGCAAAGTACTGTGATTCTCTGTTTTTGCAATATTCTGACAAATTGCAGGCAAAGTCATAAAATAAATCATTTGGGGCTTCTGGACAATGGGTATATAGTGATGCAGCAGGGTCTTTTCGACCTTCGCTACCTGGTATTATATGAAAACCATAACAATGCCCATGAACAGGGCAGAACCAAAAAAAAGCATAAGTTGTTCCTTTCTTTGAAACAGAAGAAAATTGTTTATCACAGTTGACATCAGGATGGTCATCAAAAACAGATTTTTTATGATCTTCTTTATCTATAGTAAAATGACGCATTCTTCGAATTTGACATCCGTGTGGGGTAAAATAATATGCGCGACCAAATTTTGCTGGATCATACGAGTTATCAATTATGTTTGCATCTGCACTAGGTTCATTCAAAGTATGGATGTTAATTATTGCTTTTGCAATATAGTCAACAAGCATGGCTACATCATAACATGGCTTTATATTAGAAATATTATTAAAGGAAGTAAACACAAGGCATGACAATTCTGGGCAATAATATTTTGATTCATGCACAAAACTATTCAGCTCCTCAATTGAAACAGTATTTTCCAGCACCGACATCATAAAAGATGATACATCTGAACAGAATCTAAATGGAATTAAGGAGTCCATTGATGCATCAGTTCCAAGTAACGAAAAGAAATCTGCCAGTGCTCTTCTTTCTTGCAGAGTACACTCTTTCCCAATAACCATCCTGTTGAAAGCAGCCTTAGCAAAGAGAGGTATAAAAAAATCTATAGAACATGCTAAAGATGATACATTATCAACATCATCACAATTCTTTATTATTTCACAAATAGTACGGATAACTTTCCTTGCATGTGCAAAATCCTTAGGGTCTTTCTCTTTAGTGTTAAGGATGAAGCAACAATCAAACCTACGGAATGTTGTTTCTGGAACTTCTTCAATCTCAGGCGTTTCTATAGCTTTTACAAATGTTTGTTTAAAGCCAATGCCAAGTTTTGTTCCATCACATGCTAAAATACGATTACTGTTTCCGCACATTGTACATTGTTCTCGGAAGTCAATCCCCATGTGAGAAGCCCATCCAAAAAACCAATCAATAAAAACAGAATTAGACATAAATGATACTGCATTATTCATACGCTTGTATCTATTGGACATATTGGTAACAACACCACTAAAAGTTTGACCACTGGTTTGAACTGAATCAACAAAGTCCTAACCAATGTCATAACCAGCACATGTAGATGAAGACAATCGATATACACAATGTTCTGCACCGTCCCAAAACCTAACACATGACAAATTGACACAACGTAGAAGAAAAACCTGTAACAATATAACACCTCTGTCAGTATATAAACTGGATGTTCCATTGGGAAAAAATCTTCCTTCTGGGTAAGTATTGTTAGTCCATCCAGCCTAAATATAATTCATTGTAAAATGTAATACAATGGTCTTTTCTAAGAAATTATAGATAAAAATCACACACAAAAAAGAAATACAGGGATATCATTAGTAATACAGCAGTAATATAAGAAGAAACCTACCCCACATTCACAAATGCCATTTAAAAATGGATAAACTGATTGATTATGTATCCATCTGTTTCGTATATTTAATTGTTCCACTAACTGTGGTGAAAATGGGTCTTGATCAACTTTTTGTTTTCTGGGATTATTTAACCCAAATTTCCAAAGACCAGTAACTTCATCAAATACATCAATCCACTAGATAAAAAATTCATTTTAGAAGATAAAATTTTAAAATTGAACAGTAAAAAATAATAGTGCAATAGTACAAAAATATTTCTTTGCAATATTTAAAATTTGTTTTGAAATTTCTTGTTGCAATATTGCAAATTTGCAACAAATTGTTTTACATTAAGCTTGGATTAAGGAACTCAGGGGGGCCCTATAAAAGAAAGTTAAGGCAATATTATTTTTTGCAATAATGCAACAATGTAAAACACATAATGTAACAAACCAAAATGTAAACATAATAAAAGTATGAAAAAAATAAAATAATAAAATCATATTACACAATGAATCCCTGGATCGCCTTAAATTTGAGCTCACATTCAGTTTACCGTTATTTTTACCATGACAACATCACTAGGAAGATTACTATCAAAAGATTAAAAACTGCTCCTACCCTTAACCTGATTAAAGCGTATATTTTTTATCTAAGTTTTTTTATTTCCTAGATGACCCATCTTTATCACAACTAAGGCGCATTTTAAAACCTATAATTTTATACTTGAGCTATTAATTTGACTGTCATTAATTACAGAAGGAAATAATGGGCAGTCAACACAGACTGCCAGGAATGACTAAAACTGCTATTTTGACTTCCATAAATGAATTCTTGCCAGTCAATGTTGATGGTTTGAATAATATCAGAACTTTGCTTAGGATCTACTTCAAAAATACATATATTGAAATTTCAGAAAATTTTATTGAATTCTAAACATAAATTCATTAAAACTTTTAACCATCAAAAATATTTTTAGTGTTTATGATATGCTATGTCTGTTGACAATGAAAGTTCTTCAACACAATTACTGTTAATACTTGTTGATAACGTTTCTATAGATATTTTATTAAAAGGCCTTTTACGGTGCCCATAAGCTTTACCTATATATATAAATATATATATATATATATATATATATATATATATATATATATATATATATATATATATACATATACATATACATATATATATATATATATATATATATATATATATATATATATATATATATATATATATATATATATATATATATATATATATATATATATATATATACAAGACTTTTGAGTTCTTTAGACATGTTTCGAACATAGTTCATCATCAGTAAAATATAAAAAATAATAAAAACAATTAAAAAAATATGTCACAACCTAACAAAGTGCAAATCAAGTAAAAATTTCTCAATGAAAGATTACTAAATTATTATAATGCTTTTGCAATTTGAAAAGGAAGATTTATATTTTGCATGAGAACACTATATATAGAAACTTTGAAAAACATAAAAAAAAGGATTCTAAATGAGTTACTTAAAAAAAAAATTGGGGTAAAGTTTAGGCATCAACTCCTAAATTTATTTGAAAACCACTCTTACATACTATAAAATCCAACTTTTGCACTTTTGAATGAACTTGATTTTTAAATCTCAAAAAAAAAAGTTTCTTTTTTTTTTGAGATTTAAAAATTCTATTAAAGATTTTGTCCAACGTAAAATGTCTGAACACTTAACATTATTTTAATTCATTTTTTATTTCGAAATTAAAAACTTTTAGCGCACTTATGCAGATTTCCATGCCAGTTTGTGCAACTGCTTAGCACTTATGAGGTTCGTTCTTATTTAGCCTCCCCCATTTAATATTTTATTAATTTATTTACTAAAAAAAAAGTGATTGAAAAATAAAATGGCGTGCTCTCCCTATGTCAGTTGACGTGTTTACAACTTTGTTTTCATAAAAGTTGCTTACAAGGAAAACATAACAAGAACATACAGGGAAAATAAAAACAACAAATACTTATAAAGAAAAAAATTAAAGGGTACACCAAAATATACCAGTAAGTATGAATATTGCTTTTTTTCCTGTAAGCATAAGTTTTTCATACAATAATATATATATATATATATATATATATATATATATATATATATATATATATATATATATATTTATATATATATATATATATATATATATATATATATATATATATATATATATATAAGAGATTTAGTGGTATACAAGGTTCTCTCAAAGATTGTTGGTTTTAAGTGTAGAAAATGTACTGTTGGTAAAAATAGAGGTTAAAAAAGAGGTTGAAATAAAAAGTGGAGGAAAGATAAAGTGAGTTAGTAAATTTTGTTTTCTGCAATTGAATCAGCTGGTGGAGCAGAAGCATCAGAAAGTACAGAAAGGATGTGTGGTATGACTCTAAAGACAAGAAAAACAGTGATAATTTAAGAAAAAGATAGGCATAGTGAGCGCATCTGATAGGGTGCATAAAGAAAGATCAACGTGATATCTGATAGGGTGCATAAGGGAAGATTGGGCATGTAGAGCATAATATATATATATATATATATATATATATATATATATATATATATATATATATATATATATATATATATATATATATACATATATATATATACATACATATATATATATATACATATATATATATATATATATACATATATATATATATATATATATATATATATATATATATATATATATATATATATATATATATATATATATATATATATATATATATATATATATATATATATATATATATATATATATATATATATATACATATATATGTATACATAATATAATAAATTTAGAATTATTACTGACATTCAATTCCTGTTGTAAAAATATTATATTGTACAAAAATTAAATATTTATTGTTATGGTATTTCCATAAGTTGTAGTTAAATGTTTAGATTAATTATACAACTTACTTTGTTTCTTATCACATGCTGCAACAGCATCAATTTTAACCATCAATTCCTCTAAGAATTTTGTAAAAAATAAAATAAAGTTAGTAAATAAAATTGTAAGTTATAAATGGAGTTATAATCTTATAATCAAAAGTTAACAAATTTGCATTTGATAAAACTTACTTTTTTCCTTAGCGTATGGGATTATTATATCATTTTTACCCATGAGAACCTCTAACACTGCTGAAACTATTTTGCTAGGATCTTCACGATAACAACATGCCTAATAAACAGAAACCTGAATAAATAAATAAATAAAAACTTTAATTATCAAATGATTATCAAATAAAAATCTGAAATGAAGAGAGATTTTAACATTTATAGATAAACTCAAAATCTTAGAATACTTGTATGATTCTATTTCTTGGGGAGGCAGGAAAATATCTAACACAAGTTGGTAATCTTTGCTCAAACTTTACATTAGTGGATATCTGATTTTGCCAACTCCAGAAATGATCATTTGGAATAGATGTTAAAATGTAAATTTGCTCTTCTAAAGTCAAATTGATTGATTGTTCTAATTTATAGCAAAATACTTTACCATTGTTATCTCTGACACAACGATAATCCAACAAAAGCTTTTCCCAACATTCATTTTCACCATCAGTACAAAGTAAAAATCTAAATTAATGCCAGAAATTAAAAGACAATTTAACAGATAGTCACATTACTTAAATTTAACTTGACTCGTTAGCTGTTTCATTAATTTTAAAGTTATTTAAAAATAAAACTAGTAAAGTAAAAATAGTGCAACAATAATAATAAAACAAATCAAAGCTACCTTTTATTATCTGATTCATTGGATGTAGACCATTTCTGGATTTTGTACATTGAATAACACATTATAAATAAACATTTGCTGCTTTTTGATTCAATATGTGGCTTAATTTGATTGAAAAGTTTTTGGAGACTGCTTTTGTTATTTGAAATTTGTCTATCATAAAACCTAATTTTTGAAAAAATTGGCGTTTTTCTTCCTAATAATAAAATTATAAACTATATAAATCTATGTGTGTTTCTCTCTCTCTTTCTCTCTCTCTTTATAAATATATGTGTGTGTATATATATATATATATATATATATATATATATATATATATATATATATATATATATATATATATATATATATATATATATATATAAATATATATATATATATATATATATATATATATATATATATATATATATATATATATATATAAATATATATATATATATATATTTATATATATATATATATATATATATATTTATTTTAGAAAAAATTAAATACCATGTGGTTTTTGCTTTTGATAGAGGCTATCTTGCCTTTTTGAATGGGATTCTACATCTTGACTTGTGTAAACTTGATAGGGAAGAACTGAATTGATTCCGAATTTTTCTTTTAATTTTGAATGAATGAGGTTCTGATAACATCCACTTAAACTACCAAACTCAAAATATCTGGCAATATATATGGCACCTTCAGCAGATGGTAAAGAAAATAAAACACAATAGAACTTGAACCAGAAGATGCCAGTGATAAAAAATTGTCCTCTGTCTTGAACAATGGAGATTTACATACTAAAAACTCAGATTCCATTATTTCGGTTGTTTCAATGATAGCTTTTATACCTTCAGAACACTTATTTAGATTGGAAATCATCACTTCTAAATTAGCTTCCACTAAATTGTTACAAATATAATTAAAAAAGCATCACAAATACTCAAAATATAACTTATTATATAGAATATGTCGTTACTAGACTTATTATTTAGTAGTACAATATTTATACCAGTCAGTCACCTGATAATCATAGCGAACATTTCAAGTTACAAAACGGACTATGTGTTACTACTATTATAAACACTATTTTATTGTTTAGACTGTTGTAAAAAATTGTGCATTGGTATAAGCCACAACACAAAATTAAATATTATTATATTATACAGTAAAATAGTAGAATTTTATTATCACAAGAAACTCTTTAATAAACTTATAAACTATAAACTTTTGCTACTTTAAAAAAAATCAAGTATAAATACTTACTTTGAAATCTTCACTTTGAAATGTTCTTTGAGAAATTAAATAAAGTATAATAAAGTCTAAAATCAAATCTAAAGATCAAATTAATCACAAGATTAACTTATGTATTATTTTCACCCTTAAAAACATTTAGGGTCTTTTGTGAGGATAACCGCATTTAATTGTTTATTGACTAAATATTATATTAAATGTATTCTACATTACCAATGAATATAAATATTATAATAAAGATATTATCAAATGAAATGTATACTAAAAAAGAATTTAGTTGTAATATTTTCTTTACATAATCAATCAATTAATAATATACTTTAGAATATTGATCTCACATTCCAGGTTATTTACAAATAGTAAATTAACCATGTTAATAAAAATATAAATGATAAAAGCTATTTAACATAGTAGCCACAAAATGAAATTCCAGGACTTTAATCGCATTTTTCAGGACATTTTATCATAAAAAACAATTTTGAATGTAATAATATAAAAAATTAAATTCAATTAAAACAAAGTAAATACAACAATGAAATAAAAATAAAGAAGATCTTTCAAACCATAGGAGCAAACTTGTCAAAATTAATTTTACAGAAGTATTATTTGTAAATTTTTAACTACATCTATATATATATATATATATATATATATATATTATATATATATATATATATATATATATATATATATATATATATATAATAATTTTTAAAAATCATTTTTATAAAATTTAATTTTTTCATGGATTTTTTTTCAAATATAATGAACAGTTTGTTTTTTTTATATAAATCAAATGAACATTTTTCAACAGCTGTTTTATCATAATTTTCTTAGGATTTAATATGCTAATATTGGTTTTATACTTTATCTGTTGTTTATGTTTATATTAGCTTTAAATTCTCTATGTTTTTGTTTTTAACCTAAATAAAATTGTCAAATAAGATATTTTGTGCAATAGAAAATTGGTAATTTTGAAAATGAAGCCTACTAGAAACGAGTTGCCAGAAGTAATGAAAAATCTTATTATTTCTCACCATCAAAATGGGAAATCACTGTCACAGTTAAGAGAAATGCTTTGTATTCCAAAATCTACGGTTCAGTCTATTATAAAAAAGTTTTCTACTGAGGGTTCTGTTCAAAATAAACCAAGAACTGGTCGCCCAAAAATCCTTTCGGAACGAACTGAGAATTGGTTGGTACGAAAAATCAAGATGCAGCCTAAGCTGAGCGCTCCTAAATTGACTAAGGATTTAGAACTTGATCTAGGATAATCTGTAAGTGTGCAAACAGTGAGAGGATGCTTAAAAAAACAAAATTTTCATAGAAGAGTAGCGAGAAAAAAACCCTTCATTTCTAAGAAGAATAGAAAAGCAAGTTTAGAATTTGCTAAAAAGTATGTTTCGATGCCTAAAATGTTCTGGGAGACTGTAATTTTTGCTGATGAGTGCAAATTTAATTTGTTTGGATCAGATGGACGTGTCAATGTTTGGAGAAGACCTAATACAGAATTAGAAGAGCGAAATATGGTAGCAACAGTCAAACATGGTAGGGGCGGTGTGATGGTTTGGGGCTGTATGGCAGCGTCTGGGGTTGGTAAATTACATTTTATAGAGACTACCATGAACGCTTGTGTTTATATTGATGTCCTAAAACAAAACTTAAACCAAAGTGCTGAAAAATTGGGGCTGACTGGTGTATATAAGTACTACCAGGACAATGATCCAAAGCATTCTGCTTTTGATACACGACTCTGGATGCTCTACAACTGTCCTGGAGTAATAAAAACACCAGCTCAAAGTCCAGATCTCAAGCCAATTGAACATTTATGGTCAGAATTGGAAATCAAACTGCGTAAAATTCAGTTCACTAACAAACCACAGATGAAAGTTGCTTTAGAGAGTGCTTGGAATTGTTCAAGTCAAGAAATCACAAAAAAACTGGTTCATTGTATGCCAGATCGATTGAGAGCTGTTATAAAAAGCAAAGGAAAAGCAACTCGTTATTGAAATTTGATTTTCTGATACCTTTCTTGACACTTTTTTGGTTTTTCTAAATATATATATATATATATATATATAATATATATATATATATATATATATATATATATATATATAAATATATATAAATATATATATATATATATATATATATATAATATATATATATATATATATATATATATATATATATATATATATAATATTGGCTTAATTTGTAAATATAATTAATATTAGTTTGGTCACATTACATGTATATATTATATATACAAGTAAAATGACCAAGCTAAAATTTAATATTAACTTAATACCATATATTTGTTTACAATATATACAAATATATTTAAAGTTAAAATTATAGGATTAGCTTGGATAAATATTACTATTACTAATAGTTTTATATATAAATCAAAGCAGTTAATATTAACAAGCTAATATTATATTATTAGCTTGTTTATAATGTAAACAAGCTTATAGTATTAGCTTGTTTATATTATAAACAAGCTAATAATATAATATTAACTTGTTATTATTAACAGCTTGGATTTATATATAATATTTATATTTTATTTATATATAATAGCTTGTTATTATTAATAGCTTAGATTATTATTAATAATTATCCAAGCTAATACTATAATAATAGATTGGATTAATTATACAATAAATAATCAAATCGGACTATTTATGATTTCATAATTCAAGGACTCATTAAAGTTTAATTTAAATGAAGTTATAAATAACAGCATTCTTATTTGGACTATCAATAGTTTAAATAACTAATTAAATTATCTTAAAACATAAAAAACATTTCGACAAATTTCCATCGGCTTTTGGATATTTAATGCGAACCGGACTTAAGATATGTTGTCATATCATAAATATGCAATCGTAAAGAAAACAACCAATCAAACAACTTGAAATCTATGATCAGGAAATTGTATATTAATACCCTCTTAAGCAGTCCCTGTATATATATATGTATATATATATATATATATATATATATATATATATATATATATATATATATATATATATATATATATATATATATATATATATATATATATATATATATATATATATATATATATATAGTATATACATATATATATATATATATATATATATATATTATATATATATATATATATATATATATATATATATACATATATATATATATATATATATATATATATATATATATATATATATATATATATATATATATATATATATATATATATATATATATTATATATATATATATATATATTATTCGACCGTTCCGGCACTTTTATTTTTCTACATGACACCTCTGCCGAATGCCGAATGTTGATCCAAGTATATATTTATATATACTCATAAAAATCTTTCCTTGCGTGTTAAGGAAAAAAATTGGCGGAGGTGTATTTGATTCACGGGGTCAGGGGAGGGTGGTATTTCTTAGTTAAATTCTATTAAAAAATGGCTAAAATAAATCATCGTTTTAATCACACGCGAATCAAATACACCTCCGCCAAAAAATTTTCTTACCGGTTTTTCCTTAAAAATTTCCTTACCGTGGTAAAAAGTATTCCTTGATTTAAGGAAACATATTTACTTAAATCCAAATTAAGTAAAAACAAAGGAAATATTTTTAAGGAAATACGCCTTTATGGTTTCGATAAAAGCGTATTTCCTGAATAACGTGCGCCTTTAGTGTTAGAATGGCGCTGATATCGTATGAAATGATAAAGATACATTATGTTTAAAAAGTTGTTTCTTTACGAAAATTATTGTTATTTTTATTATAAGAAAATTGTTTCCCAATTGTTATACAGTAAATTGTTTCCCAATTGTTATAGAGTATGTGTATGGGCCATACACATTTTGACAACGCGTATGGCCCATACACATACATGTGGTTTATATATATATATATATATATATATATATATATATATATATATATATATATATATATATATATATATATATATATATATATATATATATATATATATATATATATATATATATATATATATATATATATATATATATATATATATTATTCGACTGTGCCGGCACTTTTATTTTTCTACATGACACTACTGCCGAATATTGATCCAATTTGTATAATTCAACGTTATTAATATTGCTAATAAAAATGTAATTCGACTATAAAGAAACTACTCGTATTATAAATGATTAAAAATTATAATATAACACATCAAACTCAACATAAAAAAAATTCAGTATTTTTGAGTACTTTAACTACTTACAAAAATTTAAGAAAATTTATTTTAATCATTTAGACCTTATGCAAAACGTGAAAAGTTTAAAATATATAAATTTCTGTTGCTGTGCAACTATGTTTCTACTACTTTTCTTCAATTCAATTTACTTTCTTTTCAGTTTTTACTACTTTTCTTAAATTCAATTTACTTAGACCTTTTTAGCGCGTTTTTCAGATAAACTCCTCAAACGTTGATGAAATTATTATTATAGTAATAATAGTTATAATAAATATAAAAAAAATTATATTATAGTAGTTATTATATATATTATATAATATTTATGATAACAAATAATATTTTATTATGACAAGTTATACTATATTGTAATAGTTATTATATATATTCTATTATAACAGTTATTAAAAATATAAACAAAATGTCTTTTTATCTATTGATGTCCTGTCCATTCAAAGAGCGCTAGTTTACAAAACTCAAAACATTCCAATAAAACTTATCAAACTCTCCTTACTTGCAGAAAACAACTCCTTTGACATTAATTTTATCACCGAGACATGGTTCAACGACCAATCAACTCCATCTCTTCCATTACTATTCATTACTATTCAAAACAATTATGGGTTGAACTAAAGCTTCTGAATGAAACTCTGCTCCTAGGCTGCATTTATAGACCTCCTGGTATCGAAGCCTTCTCAGAGATTTCAAGTGTTATTTTCCATGCCGAAACATCAGTATCGACCAAAAAATGCAATGATATTATCGTTGCCGGTGATTTCAATTTCCCAGAGATTACTTGGACTTCCAATTCAGTCTTGTTCTCTAGTAAAATAGTTCTCAGTTCATTAATTGCCTCTCTTTTTCAAGATCATTTCATCTTCACCAAACAATCACTGTGTCTACTTTCAAACTTGTTAATCGCCCTTTGACAAACACTCTTGATCTCATAATATGTGACTCTTCATATCGTGCTAACGAAATCAACAGCGGTCCTCCATTTGGTTTGTGTGATCAATATCATTGATCTATTACCTGGCAATACAAACTGGCTTCCACCGTAAAATTATCTCATTTCAACAGCTTTAAATTTATTTACAAGCTTGGTAAGTAAGAAAAAATCAACAAAGAATTCAATAAGGTTGACTGGTCATCTATTTTTAAAGGCTTAAACGTAGAACAATGTTACCAAACTTGGCTAAACAAATACAACGAATGTTGTCTTCCATTCATCCCTCGTATGCAAAACAAACCATCACCAAATAAACAACGATGGATGACAAAAGAACGTTTATCTCTGACTCGTCTTAAAAATTCAAAATGGAAAATCACATTCCTGGTTGAGGAATATTGAGAGACTAGAAAGTTGGTTAAAAAGTTAAGTTGTTCATTTCTAAAATCCTTCAAATTTGCTCTTGCAAATGATAGACGCAACCCTAAAAGACTGTTTTCATACATAAATAGTAAACGCTCTGTAATAAATCAGATCTCATCTATGCGAATCACGAGTTCCAGTGAAATCATAAGCTCTAACAAATAAAATAAAATAACAAACTCACTTAACAATCAATTTCAAGCAGTTTTAAGCAAAGAGCCATCCAATGACAACATTCCCCATTTTGATCATAGAACTAACACAATCCTCAACAGCATAACTTTTCACACTCAGGCCACTCTAATGAAACTCTCATCACTAAATATATCTAAATCACTTGGTGTTGACAATGTCAGTCCTCACGTTTTACGCTTTTGTTCTACATCAATGTCTACTCCACTTACTCTCATCTTTCAAAAGTCATTTGACAATGATAAAATTCCAAACTCATGGTCCAAAGAAAATGTAACACCTTTATTTATGAAGGGCTCCAGAATCGATCCATCAAACTACAGACCAATATCTCTCAACTCAATTCCATGTAAAGTAATGAAGAAACTAATTAAGAAGGCAGTCATGCAGCATCTAAAATTAAACAATCTTCTATCAGATAGTCAACATGATTTTTTAGAGAAAAAAACATGCGTTACAAATCTCCTTGAAACAATGGACTTCTTGACTGGAAATATTGTTAGAATACTACATATTGACATCATATTCTTGGATTTTACCAAAGCATTTGACAAAGTACTACATCAACGAATGCTTTACAAACTAAAGATGTACGGAATCGAATGTAATCTTCTTAAATGGATAAAAGCTTTTCTACTGAACATGTCTCAACGAGTCATCCTTGGTGACATTTGTTGATAATAAGGAACGAGGAGGTTTGAGATAAAGACAAGATATTGGCAGATCTTTAAAAATTCTGTTTTTAAAGTGTTAAAACAACATCTTTATTTAAATATTATATTAATATTTGTGCATGGAGCTAAAGAGGCGCGTATTGACTTCGAAATAAACACATGTGGTTTGCAGGCTGACCTCTGGTTTAAACGTTAAAACAATATAATGTACACCATGTACTTGCATAAATCTTTTTTGTTTGCACATCAAATTAAAACTTTTTAAATTGCAACTTTTGGTTCTTTTGCCTTAATAGGTTGCTGACCCCTGGTTTATACAATTTGTTTAATTGGTTTATACAATTTGTTTAATGCATTTTTCGTTATACTAAACTCTATTAAAAATAATTGGCTTTCACAGTGAAATTGAATTAGGTCTAAAGTTGCATTAATTTGAAATATGTTCACAATTTAATTTAGTTAGGTGTATACATTTTTGTAAACACCCTTTAATCTTTATTTTTTTGTTTGGAGTAAGTCTTTGTAGTCATAAACTAGAAATATTTTTTTTAAGCTAAAAGTTTAACTTTTTTTCGATTCTCTAAATAGTTTACTTTTAATCTCTTTTTTATTTTACTTATAAATTAGCCTATTTAAAATATTGTTTTTTTTTTTTTTTTTCCAATTAGTTTAAAGTTTTTTTTTTTTTTTTTTTTTTGAGGGGGGGGGGGGAGGAAGGGGGTAATTAAATGTTGACGTAATTTTTTAAGGTGGTATCTGGAAGTTTGACAAGTTATTGACAAGAGGAAGGGGGAATTTTGTCAAAATTTGTCAAAAAATTGTTGACGTAATTAATGGACAGCCTCTAAATGCGTATCTTGTATTTATTTTTCATTGTTTTTATCATTAGAGCGCTTCATATAGAAAATAAAAAACATAATTACTTCTTTATAGCTATTTACTTTTTTATAAAAAGTTTTTTAATAACAAATAAGGTTAATAATATAATTATAAAATAACTTTAAATAACAATAATCTTAGTTTTGTAATGCAACCCTTTGCTACAATAACGGCTCTCAGACATCAGGATATGGTTTTATTACAGACTTTTGCGTTGTCCTGGAGACTGGGGTCGAGATCAATTGCTGCTTGATGGTGATGATCTCTTTAGCGATTTCCCGTTTTGCGAACTCTAATAGATTTTCTAAAGGATTCATTTCACGTAAATTTCCCGGCCAAGGCAAAACGCGCACATTTTTTCAGTTAGTGATTGCTGTAACACTCTCAGCTTTATGGGACAGTGCAGAGTCATGCATAAACATACTTTTCATTACCAGGGAAACGTTCTTGGATCTGGGATACCTTGTTTTCCAATACTTGTTTGTATTGGTCCTGCCTCATGGTCCCTTCCACATTGTAGAGTAAACCCATACCCATGGCTGAGATTATAGACCACACTACTACACTCATAGGATGTTTAACCTGTTCTATAAGACAGTCCTGGTAGGTACTTAAGCAGCGTTAGAAAAATGAGCAAAATGAACTTCCACCAAAATTTGAAATGTTGACTCGCCCAAGAAGTAGTCCTGTAAAACATTACAAAGGTATTTTAAATTATAAAACTGTAATTGTTTTTACAGTATTAAAAGTCATACTTACTCTACTCCAGTCTTCAATAGTCATTTTCTGGTGTTTTCTAGCCCATTTCAGTCGCTTTTTTTCAGGATTTATGCATTAAAATTAGCAAAAATAATAAATTATTAACCATAACTAATTGAATTATTAACTAATACTTACGTTTTGATAGCTTTGAACTCAGAAATTAAAAAAAAATTGTTCCAAAAATGAATAATTCAATTTGCACTTATGCCAGTGCAAACTGGCATAAGTGCATATTGGCATAAGTGCGCCAAATAAATTTGCATAAGTGCAACCTGGCATTAGTGCGAAGCAGTTACAAAAACTGGCATAAGTGCAAACTGGCAAACTTATGAAAGTTCGCATTTATGCAAATGTTTGCAAATTCTTTTGAATCACTTATGCCAATTCGCACTTATGCCTGTTCGCAATTACGCCATTCGCACTTAAGAAATTCGCGCAGATTCAGTCATCCCTTTAAAAACAATATACTTTTTCGCAAAATACATTTAAACAAGTAAAAAGTCAATAATAAATTACACTCAAAAAACACACTCAAAAAAACTTGGTAACTTTTTCTCTTTTTAAGATTATGTTATCAATTAAAAGGTCCGGTATAATATGAAGCCGTTTCTGCTTTTTTGAAAGTGATTAGAAGTGCGTCCATTTAGCTATTTTTACTTTTTTTTAATTTTTTTATTTTTTAATGATATTTAGGTGCCCCAAGAAGACCTAACGGTCTTGTCACAGAGCACCGCAAAAGTGCATTTAACCAGAAAGTTCACGCCTTCTTCCTTACCATGACGCGAAATATGTCCAGAGCTTTTTTATGAGCTCGAAATATGTCCGAACCTGGGTCTCCTGCTTTTAAAGCAAGCGCTCTAACCACTGCGCCACGGCCGCAATTTATTATTAGAGGCAACCTATTTTAATTAAACTAAACAGAAAGTTTTAAATTTATTTGTTATTTGAGTAAA